ATTGGAAAAAAAGTAAAAAAAAAAAAAAAAATACAGTACCAATACCTTTTCGAAATATCTGCATCTGATATTTCGCTGTGGAAAATCTCCGTATACGTTTTTTCGTCGCATAACAAACGGTAACGAATTCGTCAATATGTAAAAAACAATAAAACCAGTACAATAATAATTCTCGGTCCCAGAGAAAAAGGGCTTGAATCGATTTTGTATAACCAAATTAAATTGTTGAAAATACATATGCCGTTAAGACCAAAAAAATAACACGCCAAAATATTATAAAAAATCAAAACTATCAAAAATTATTTAAGCAACGTTAATTTGAACGTTTAGCGAAACCTACGTGACGGTTATAGGTTTGTTTGTGTCATAATGCTAATTTTTCTGAATTAAGTTTTTTCAAGTCGATTTTCTACGTATTTCCTTCTTTTTTTATGTATATATGTATAAAATAACTTGTCCTGACTGATTCATCATCGCCTAGCCCAAACTACTAGACGGATCGGGCCGAAATTTGGCTATTATGACGCAGGCATCCGCTAAGAAAAGGTTTTTGAAAATTCAACCCTTAAGGAGGTAAAATATGGGTTTTTAGAAATACTCGGTACGAATAATCTGATTGTTTATTTATTTATTTTTATTCATTCAAGGGTTACCTTGGTGACACGGATAATAATTTGGTTGTCGCGGATAAGAAAACTATTAAAATTATAATTATTACTATTGTTTACACTATTAAATTTTCACAACAGAACACTTTTGGTCCACAATCCGCTTTCCACCTAAATGTTTTCATTCAATTCTGACACGGTTAAAACCACAAATGAATACGAGTAAAAAAAAAAAAAAAATATAATATAAATTCGACTCGTATGTTGTCGTGTGTCGATCATAATATTAATATTGTCGTCTTCCGCACTAGTTGTCGTCCGTAGGCTGTCGAAGGAAACGTACCAAAACCATGCGGAGATTTACTGATTTGCGTCGTTTTATTTTTTTCTCTTGCCGTCCGACGAATCTCGCGGCAGTACAGCGCCGGTAATTCGCTGCGACATCGGTGACGCAACCGGGAGGAGTCATCGTTTTTTTTTTTTCAGAGGGGTTACGGATTTCGAAACGTTTCGCGGACGCGCGTTTGCAGGGGGCGATAAAACATTACGTAAATAGCCGGTGTACTAGGAAACGTCTAAAAGCGAGATACGAAATAATACGACGACGGCGATAGCAATAATTATATGATGCAACTACGCGGAATCCGTATAGCAAAAAAAAATCCCGCGTTTCTACAGGGGGGTTCGCGACGCCGGCCTTCTAACCCCCAGTCGAGTCATTGTTTTGTCGACTTTATTGGTTTAACGCTTGGACATAAAATACGTTGCGTTATGTTATTTTCAATAGTTTACGAATATTTTTTTCCGACGGTTTTACCTTTACAAAATAGGCGTGTTGTTCAGTGGCGTCGTCTAGATGGGCGAGAGGTGAAATTCGGGCAGTCGTCTCGGCGTACGCTTTAGAGTAGTCCGCGGTAAAATCATCGTTTTTCGACTTTTAATACACAATTTAGTATATTGTGATTATTTTTAAAATTCCAAATAACCTTTCAATTAAACGGCGCGGACAGAGCGATAAAATGTTTCGACCTGTGTAGTCGGAAAATTCGGCGAATAGTCTACTGACTATTGTAACGAAGCCGTTGCGCACGAGATAGTTAGGGGTTACATTTTCCGCCTCTCTCCATTGGCTTGAAAATACCACAATTACGAGTATTTAATTGCTGATTTAATCTTGAAATCGTGCGCCGCCGCCAATTGAAAAGGAGAAAAAGTCGGTTAATGAAAAAAAGTTGAGTTTTTCGATCAGGTTTTTAAATTCCTATTGTCGGGTTAGATGCTTGTATAACAGAAGATTTTACGACTTTTTGTGATTGTATTATTTACTATCCACGTCTACTTTTTCCACGTTTTGCAATGATGTTTATTTTTTCATATACGTGTTACAATTAAAACCCGAAATCTGTTAAAACTAGTACTAGTTTTAAGACCTTCATCGGTAAAACTAGATTTAACTTAGTTTTGTTTAGTCATAACTACTTGTGTCTGAAATATATCGGTGAAAATTAGAATTATCCAGTAAAAAGTCTTTAATTTTTATTTTGATAGCTCAAACTAGTGGCGCGTGACAAACACACGCGTAGGGACGACAACTACCCCGAAGACAAACGAACTGGCAAAACTGAAAACACTGGGAAAAAAGGTACAGCGGCCGAATTATTATCTATTAGGCATAATCGGTCGCAGTTATCATTATCTAAAATTGATTTGATGGACGACTGGTTAAAGTTTTCTTAATTGAATCGATAGCCGGCCAGTCGAATTTATGGAGCGACATTTATAGATTGCATGCAATTGCGTGCGTTTTAGATAGTGCAGTTTGGAATACACGCGTTTTAGTAAAAACTGGTTTTGACTAGGGATTTACATAATGAATGTGAAAAAAACGGAAAAATGTAAGAAACGTGATATTTTAATCGATAAATATTTAGCATATCTATTGGCCTTTCAAACAATATGTAGCCGAACTTTGTATAAAAATCGTTTTCGGTTCGCAGCGATTAATCGTTAGTACTTTCCATGTGAGTATTTTTCCGGGGCTACTTATTTTTAATCCGAAATTCGACCGTTAAAGTGTCGAAATTTCGCGCACTATACTTGTAAAACGAGAGAATGGTCGTCCCCAACTTTTCATCACAAAATTCAACCCGCGCTCGATAGTGGAATTTTTGTTTTTTGTCGATTTATAAGTTACCTCGGCGACGCGGATATGAAAAAAAAAACGGTTATTATTATTAGTTAATTCGGTCGTCTCGGACGAGAAAACACGTTTTTTAGTTTTACATTTTTTTCTTTTTTTTTTTTCGTTCAATACCTACGAGAACACAGGGCGAAAAATCGCGCGGGACAGCTAATCGCATTATTATTAATGCTGTGCAAAACCGCGCGCATACGATTTTCGGACGAACTTAAAACTTACTGCGGGGTGTGATGGGATCTCGGCCGCCCGGGGGAATTTCCGCGCGGGCTAAGGGGCGGAGTGCGTACGCTCGGGAAAGCGCGAGGACGACGAACTACGGTGAATGTGGGAGTGGGGGGGG